GGATCCATTCCGGTTCCCTTGGAGAGGAAGAAATCCCCAAACACGGTGGTAGAGCGGAGTTTCCTCCGTCCACCATGAACTGCTCCTGGGAACTTAGTCCCTCGAGCCCGCGACCAGTCTTGGACGTGACCTGCGTTTCAGCCGTGCCCGAATAGTTCCACTCCCCAATGCAGGTGGCCGAAGTGCTAGAGTCAGGACCGCCTCTATGGCAAACTCCTTCACAGGGGAATTCCTGTTTGGAACTCTTGTGGATGTGCCGGGATGACTTCCTATTTGGAGCAATTGCTGATGCGCAGGACTCCCTGTTTGGAGCAATAGCTGAATTGTGAAGATGCCATTGCTCCTCCACTGGGGAATTCCTAGCAACCTGTGGTAATTCCCAGGAACAATAAGGCTGGTTCTCAGGATTTTGACCTGAAGTGTGACCAAGTTCCTGGGTCCCAGGATTTTGACCTGAAGTGTGACAATGTTCCTGGGCCCCCTCCCCCCAGAGAGTGGAGGCAGGGGCAGATGTGACAGGGGACAACCGCCAGCGCAGTTGGTCGATGTGACGCCAAAGGACGCGGCCGTCTCCCAAGGTCACTTTATATAATAGCGGCCCCAAGATCTTGCAAATGACAGAGGGATCCAGAGATGTCCAGGACCATAGTTCCTTGCCCAGACTGGATCGCCCACCTGAAGTCTCCTAGGTACCCGCGGCTGCGACACCTGTGAATTCACCCGGTCTGGGTGCAATCTGTCCAACTTCGTGATAAGTCGGCGACTCCAACGGAGTTCAGCTGGGCTCTTTTCGGTGGCAGTGCATGGTGTGTTGCAGTGTGCAAGAAGAAAATCTGCTAACCTGTGATGCCAGCTACCGTGCATGATACATTTGAGCATGTCTTTGGTGGTGCGCACCATCCTTTCAGCTTGCCCATTGGTGGAAGGGTGGAAAGGAGCTGACGTGGCGTGCCAGATCAAGTTGGCCTGAAGAAAAGCCTGGAACTCAAAAGAAGTAAATTGAGGACCGTTGTCAGAAACAAAGACATCTGGAAGGCCATGGGTAGCGAAGATTCCTCTCAACACCTGGATAGTCCTGGCAGTAGTAGTAGAGGAGACGGGTACAATCTCTAACCACTTGGAATGGCTATCCACCAAGATAAGAAAGAATTGCCCCTGAAAGAGGCCAGCATAATCTAAATGTACCCTTGACCAAGGGGTTTGTGTCTCCTCCCACCTGTGTACAGGGGTGTGAGGCATTTCAGGCCGTGACTGTTGTCACACCTGACATCCATGTACCTGGGCCTCGATAGCTTTATCAAGGCCAGGCCACCACAGATGCCTTCTTGCGAGTGCTTTCATGTGCACAATGCCTGGATGTCCCTCATGCAGAGAGGACAAGACTCTAGACCTCAGTGAGGCAGGAATAACTACTCTACTACCCCATAACAGGCACCCATGAAAAGTAGACAGTTCGTGCCTTCTTTGCCAGAAGCTTTGAAATGCAGCATCTGGACAAATGTCAGGCCATCCTGACAAAACCCAATCAGCACGCGTGTGAGCATGTGATCAGTGGCAGTTTCTGCAGCCACGTCCCTAGCATTGAGCGGAGATTCAGGCAACTCCTGAATGGAGAGAATATGGATAGCAGGAGCCGGGTCAGCCTCTATTTGTTTGAAAGGCAACCTCTGAGGCCACCAGCATGGCTCATCTCTTTTCCTGGTTTATGAATAAGTATATATTCATATGCTGACAGGAAAATTGACCATCTCAGCATACGTGGGGAAATGATGTGTGGTGTCTGTTTGTTGGTGGTAAACAACCCCAGCAAAGGTTTATGGTCTGTGTAGACCGTGAAATGGCGGCCATACAAGAAATCATGGAATTTCTTTATGCCAGCCACTATGGCCAAGGCTTCTCTGTCAATATGAGTGTAATTCCGCTCTGCAGATGACAGAGTCCTTGAACAATAGGTTACAGGGACTTGTGTCCCATCAGCCTTCAGGTGGCTCAATACTGCTCCAACCCCATAAGGAGATGCATCGCATGCGATGCATACAGGCAATTGCTCATTGAAATGCGCTAAAACAGCATTTGAAGAGAGCAAGGCCTTAACCTCATTGAAATTCCTTTCATGGACATGAGTCCATTGCCATGGAGCCTACTTGTCTAAGAGCCAGTGTAATGGCTCTGCCACTGCAGCCTTATGTGGGAGAAATGTGTGATAAAAATTCAAAAGCCCCAAGAAAGCTTGCAGCTCACTCTTGGACTTGGGACTTGGGGCCTGCTGAATCGGCTGAAATTTGGATTCAGCAGGGTGAATGCCTTGAGCATCAATCCTGAAACCCAAAAAGTCAGCAGAAGTGACTCCTATTTTGCACTTGTCTTGCTTCAATTTAAGGCCTGCTTTGCGAAAATGAAGCAAAACAGCCCTTAACCTGTTTGCCAGATTTTGAGATGACGCCCCAGCAATGAGGACATCATCAAAGTAGGGACAGACCCCAGGAATACCACGAAGTGTGTGTGTTCCATGACACTTTGAAATATGCCAGGGGCTACATTAACCCCAAACTGCAGTCTTTTAACTTTAAAGGCCCCTCTATGTGTTACAATTGTTTGGGCCTCTGCAGTTGCCTCAACAGGTAACTGTTAATAAGCCTGTGCCAAATCAAGTTTTGCAAAAAGGCGCCCCCCTTTCAGGGAGGCCAAAATGTGGCTCACCACTGGTACTGGATAAGTGTGCTGTTGCAATGCTTTATTCAGTGTACACTTATAGTCTGCACATATGCGAACTTCACCATTAGCCTTTAAAGGCGTGACGATGGGGGTTTCCCATGGACTAGAGTCCACAGGTTCTAAAATGCCCTGCTGGAGCAGCTTGTCCAGCTCTGCATCTATTTTGCTTTTGAGGGCAAAAGGCACCCTTCTAGGCTTGATCCTGATGGGCGTGATAGTGGGGTTTAAACGTAATGCAATGGGAGGCCCCTTGTAGGATCCAAGCTCTGAGCTAAACACATCAGCAAACTCCTTGCAGACTTCTGCAAGGCCCAACGTTTGCACGCTGTGAAACCCAGTCACCTGAATTCCAAGGGCTTCAAACCAATCGAATCCAATAAGACTTGTGCATTCACTCCCAACTACCACCACATCAAGAAAACCTACAAAAGCTTTATGCTGCACTTTAAGCGTAGCTTCCCCCTTCACACTGACTTTGGAATTCTGGAAGTCAGTGAGGATTAAATTCAAGGGCCTGAGTTTGACTCGAAGGCCACTACTACTACAAATCCTCTTGAATGTGTCAAGTGAAATAATGGATAGAGCGGACCCGGTGTCCAACTCCATTGATAAGGGAACTCCCTGCAACTTCACATCAATGTGAAGTTTTTTCTTAAGGGGCTTGTGTGTCCCTGTCCTCAGAATACTCCTGTGCGATGTGCAGAAATCCATCCTGTGTTGGCTGGGGACCCTGGTACCTTTCTGAAGCAATTCTTCCCGAGATTGGACCTTCTTGCGACCCAAACAGATGGAGGCAATGCAAAAGGTGGAACAGAACCTGCAGTCAGGTTGCTTGTGACAACCTCCACAACCGAGACACTGAGGAGATGCTGGGGCCTTGATGGAACGCCCTTTAAACCTTCTTTCTGCTGGCTGGTGAAGTCTGTCCACCTCCTCTTCAGGATCCGCTTCTGAACCTTCTAGAGCATCCTCTTGATGGACGGACGTGGCTGCTGTAGTGCTTTTGGCAAGTCGCAAGGCCTTCACAGTGCCTCCTGCGGCCTCTTCAGCTTCAACTTCTCACAAGACATCTTGGAAAATGATTTCAGCTTTAGCAAATATTTTTTGTTGCAGCTCTCTGCTTCTCAGACAACAGACAAAACGGTCTCGTAAGCGCTCTTCCAGGTCCTTGAACTCACAAGGCCTGGCAGCTTGTCTCAAGGCAGCAATGAATTCAGCAGCAGACTCACCAGGCTTCTGGTCCCTCTGCTCAAAAGCGTGCCTCCATGTGATTACAGATAGCTTCGGATGAAAATGATCCTTTAGCATATTTTTTAAGTCTGTGAATGTTACAGACTCAAGTGGTGCAGGAGCGACTAGATTTTCAGCCACATCAAAAGTGTCCTGTCCACAGATGCACAGCAGGGTTGCTGCCTTTAAACTGTCTTCTCGAACCTGGTTGACTCGCAGGTAGTTTTCCACCCGGGCCACGTAAGAGTTCCAACGCTCCGGGTGTGACAAGTCGAATTCGGACAGCTTACCGATTTTAGACATCTCTTGCTTCTGTTGGCCTCGCTGCAATTCAGGCTGAGAAGAGGCCTGTTTGCCAAGCCCACCTCCAATGTTTGCATACTGGTAGGTGAATGCTGATCTGGACGCCGACTTCCCGTCTTCCAGGTCTTTTTTAAAAGACTAGGTTCCTTGCGTTGTCTCCTTCTTTGCAGCAATCCCATCCTCATCGCCAGTTTTATGTATTGGGGTTCGTGGCATTGAAGCGACATGCAATGCCACTTTCAAACAAATTCTTCTTTATTCAATTCCAGTTCCACTCAATAAGCAAAAGGATTGCAGGCCTTTTATAGTTTCCCAACAGCCTATCATAATTCTCCCTTTTCGCGCCTTGTACATGCACGCAAGGTCAGTGCCAACCAGCTTTTGGAATCCCTGGGACCATTTGCAACACTTCTGGGCCTGCTGAGCTGCCTCAGCAAACCCAGGGCACAACAGTTCTGAGACTAACAATTATCTTTCTAGCTGTGAAAAACTGACTCCCTCCATATTAGACAACAAGTGTAAAAAATATTTATGCGTATTTAAGAAAAAGAACACAAAATTTGGACAGAGATGGATACAGAAATGGACTAAAACAAAAATATAGCAGAAAAGATGAGAAACAAAACTGAAAATGTCAAGCTCACTCTCAACTTCAAGCAGCAACTCATAAACAAAAATGCATTATTTTTATTAGCTAAATACAGGATACAGACATACCAAACAACATCTCTGAAACTGAATAATTACTATACCTATAGCTCCATAGCTGCTTCCTTCAGGGGTGCTGGCAGTGATAGGATGAGAAGAAGTCATAGTCCCAGGACCTGCAAAGTAAACCAACAAGGAATGTTTTTTTTTTAAATTTCTGACTGTCCAAATGGCCCAACAGACAGGATAACCAACTATTTAGAATTGAGAAGAGATGTCTCCTTCCATTTGGCTTTAGGCATTACCAAGCAGTATGCCCAATCCTCTGTTGTTATCAGATGATGACACCCCAACTTTCTGAGTAGCAAATACAAAAAAGGTGGAGGATTTAGGGATGGATCCTTCAAGCTGAGGAGCCCTCTTAATTTCCACCTTTCCAGTCTCTGGAAAGCAGACAGCAGAGAACAAAATTCCCACTTTGGGGAAATCAGAATGCATAAGTCTGTCAGACCCCGAAATTGCTCATCTGCTCTCTCCTTTTTTCTGTCTTTTTGGGGCCTGCCATTATTGTTGGGAGAGGGGGTGCATAGTGTTAACTTTCACTTTCTCCTTCCTTTGTCTGGCCTCCTTCTTTGAGTAGGGAGACAGTTACAAGGAAACGAAAGCTGGAGAAGACCTTGAGATGCACACCTACTGTGCCAGTCAGCCGCCTACCAGGCCACCTGTGGATTGGCTGGATTTCAAATGGACTATGACTTTGGTGGAAGGGAGAATATTGCTTGCTTAATTATATCGTTCATGCGGGCTTTTCTTCAGATCTAGCCTCAATTTCCCTGCTATCACTAGTCCCTAATACATGTTTCCTTTTGAGACAATGCCTGTTTCAAGAGTTCTGCTTTCTTGGGTGATTAGTTTAAGTCACCCAATTAATCTATTTAAGCTTCACATTATAAAGAGCTTGTGAATTAAATGTTTATAGTTTTCAGTATTGTAAGAAATAAATTTATTTCTTAAAAATTACTTAATAAATTATTACCTGTTCTATAATTTTTTTATTTATATTTAATAGCATGATTACAATATGTGTATGAAGTTTTCAGGGTTAAAGGTTTTCAAATACATTATTTAGGTGTAATTATTACAATAGCCTTGTATAATTCCAATTATTAACCTTCTTAATAGTTTTATTTTTAAAATTATTTTAATTAATTTTATATATGTTTTATTCACTATCCTAGTGATTTATTGTTTGCTTATTTAGTATTCTATGACTATCACTAAATGTTGTATCTTAGGATTTATGATGAATTTATTTTTTATGCTGATTATGATCATGATTTTATGTACACTGAGAGCCTATGCAAATTCCTTGTATGTTCAATCACACTTGGCTAATAAAAGAATTCTATTGTATTCTGTGTTCTGTATTTTCTACATTCTACATTCTATTCTATTCTATTCTATTCTATTCTATTCTATTCTATTCTATTCTACTGCAGGGAGTAGCCCCAAAAGTGTACACATGTGGAAGGAATCAGAACAGTCCAAATGTACTGGGTAATATTTTCATTAAAAAGTGATGCGAGAGAAACTTAGCATGCTCTAAGTTATTATAATACATAAGTTTCAGGGGGAGCAGTAGATACAATGACAACAAAATAAATACTTTGTAAAAGGGAACATCAAGAGGCAAAAATATACAATAGCATCTGAGTTTGTTAGGACAGCGCAGAGTCACAAGATTCTGTAATATAACCACCCTGAGATAGATTACATGAGGTATTAATGGTGGTAGAGGGATGAAATTACAATATCCCCTTTTCTTGATCATATAATTTCATAGTTTTATCATCTATACCAAGGAGAACTATACATCTCAGTCCAAAAAGAAAAATGAAGGGTCAGGGCCATTGAGAGTACAAAAATCCCTTGATAGCTGAGGCTGCTTGTTCTGTGGTGAAAAAGTGTCAACAAACACCTTCTTCAGCCCTCTGAATGAGCATGTTGGATTGGGCAAGGAAATGGAAAAATCTGCCTTGAATAATTCATATAAGTTGGCTCATCATACCAAATATGACAGAAGATGAAAATCAGCAGAATCTAAGCCTAAATAGAATGAAATTGAAGAGAGTTCAGGTGTAGTGATATTATAGCTCTCCTGGGTACACTACATTTTTGCACCATGTAGAGTTTTAAGCAGACCTATATGTTAAAATTCTGCTGATTTGGTGTCTGGAAAAAACATAGCAAATTTTAATGATATCCAGGATAGTATCTATATATTGTATCTGATGAATAAACATCAGATGGGACTTCTCCTGACTGGCATACAATCAAAGAAAATTAAGAAGTTCAACATAAGATTTTGATAAATCAGATGGAATCTCTGGAAGAAGGATGGGAATAGCTTGGAACTGGATGGGTCCTCACTTAATGACTGGGTGGGATTTGGTTAACAACTTATCAGGGATGGTCAGGCTTGCCATCACTAAGTGATGTAGTCAGTGACTTTGCACTTTACAACCGCATCACTTAATGATGAAAGAGAGAGACAGAGAGAGAGAAAGAGACAAAAGATGGTAAAAGAATCAAGTTGATGAGGATTCCATATTCTATTGCAGAAACTGTATGAAAATTGGGAAATAACTAAATTTAAAGATAAACATTCATATCATATAGTCACCTATCCCTTATTTGCACTTTCTCTAGGACAGTGGTTCTCAACCTGTGGGTCGGGACTCCATTTGGGGTCGAACGACCATTTCACGGGGATCGTCAAACAAGGCTGTCCGCCATTTTTCCCCCTTTTCTTTGGCCACGCCCCTGGCAACCAGTGATGTATAAGTGGTTGGGGGGTCACCACAACATGGGGAACTGTATTATGGGGTCGCGGCATTAGAAAGGTTGAGAACCACTGCTCTAGGAAGTTGGCTCCTTCAGGGCATCAATCCACAACAATGATTATACAGAGTCCAACAATTTCCCCCACAAAAATATTTTGATGTTTAGTCCAGTTGGAAGACTGGGCTTAATAATTCATGACATGTCTTCCAACTCTATAATAGCAACACAATATATTAGCATAATTACCATCATTAAGTCCTCTAATAGATGTTTTCATATGAAATCTGAAATCAAACACAAATATAACCATGTAGATGTTTATTCCTAGATCAATATAAATAGTAAGAGGCAAGTATTTATCATAAAAATCTATAAAGCTTATATAATAATGATTTTAAAAATTGGCAAGATCCCTTTGAATTGGGTGGAGCTATTGACCACTTTCATTGTAAAATACTGTTGCTAAGAAACCAACAGCTACTTTGGTACAAAGGTTATTATTCAATAATATATCTTGCACAATCTGGATTTATAAAATGATTTCAAGCATCTGATACCTTTTGATTGTTAAGATTTATTATACTTACAAAAAAGTAATTGCAAAAAGCCTTTGATGACATATATAAGTGATATTTTTGGTTACATGATTTTTAGTTAGACATTAATTTTAATTATCTTTGCTTGGGTGATTATGAATAGGATTATCTCTTGTTATGAAATGCAAAAGGGTACATGTCAAGGATGCCACTTATGTTCACCTATATTTACTTTGGTCTTGGAACCGCTGATACGTTCAATAAAAAAATGTGATATCATTCTAATGGAACAATATATGATATTTTATGAATGTAATCTATTATATGCAGAATATTTTGAGTCTTTTAAATGATTATCAAATTCTTTATCATATTTTGTAGAGATTTTTCAACAATATAGTAAATATACAGTTTGTTTATTATTTCTGTGACAGATTAAGCAATTTGAATGCTTGTAAATATGGAAGAAAACCCATTTTGTCTCTATACTGTATTATAAAAGCAGTCACATTTATTGATATTGTTACTGTACTAATGTCATCACAACCTTTCGCCTATATACAGTACGAGAGTTTTTTAATTAATCTATTGCAACTTCTCATAGTCCAAAGCAGGTGTTTTGCCTGGACCCTATGTTATGCCATCATGCAAACACTTTAATAAATGGAGACATGTTTTATTAAACAGTGCTAAATGTTCTTTGTACCTGATGTACTGCACAAATCCAACCACTAGCGCACCCAGATAGAAGGAGAAGAAAGTCAGAAAACTGAAAAAGATGGCATGTATATAAACAGTGCCTAGGAAAAAGACACAAGGATGTACCATTAGTAAATGAAGAAATTATAGCCCATTCCTCTGCTACCATGTTGTTTACTCCCCCAATCTCATGTATTTTTTACTCTTTTCTCTCTTCAGTAGACCAAAATCTGAAATAATGGTAAATGCTCACTTCTTCCTCTTACTATGTGCAATCCTCAATATTATTCTCCACTTGGAAGACAGATTTGTAAATTAATTTGCAATCAAGACTTTGACATCTATTCTATTCTGTGATTCTTAGGAAAAACATGTCTTCAAAATCCAGTATTTGTACTGGAGTGAAAATCTGCGCCAAATGGGATTACAGCAAACTGAAGGATGAGAGAATCAAACGATCACTTAGCACTTGCAAATGTGAAAACTCATAATATCACCTGAGTATGTTATGCATTATTTTGTACTATTTTAATAAAACCATATGTATAGTGATAGTGGTGGTTCATCGATTTTTGTTAACTTTAAGAAAATACACAATTATGTTTCAAGACCTTTAACTGAAGGTAACACTGTCACTTCAAGATGCTTCATTCGTTGGAGGTTCCATGTGTAGTTAGCCCTTCCTGAAAAAGAGTAACATAATACATACATGCATGTACATATATATGATTTGATCATGCAAAAGTTTGCAAATCATGAGAACTTTACTAGACCATGGCTTCCAGAAAGAGAGAAATCAAAATAGATGAGAATTCTTGATTGCAGAGAGGGGAGGGGGAAGAGGGAGGGAGAAAGAGAGGGAGAGGGAGAACATAGATTTGCTTCTGGCATTGAATTTCCTATTCTGTATAACTTTTATTGTTTTATCAATGTATAAAATACAAAGAAAAATAAAAAATAGGAAATTAAAGGAAGAAAAAAAAGAGGGAAAGAAAAGATGCAGTACAAGGAAAGAAAGAAAAAGGCATTGACCTCTAACTCTTTTTAGCACAGTAGAAGATAACAACATTCCGGACTTCCGGTTTTGCACCATAGCGCATGATCGTGGGAGAGCGAAACTCCGCTCCCCGCGGCCAATTCCATCGTGCCAGGGGGACCCTAAATGGGTCTGAAGTCACCCCAAAGAAGTGACCATGAAGGAGGAGTGCTCCATTGATCACGAAATGACTGCAGTTGTTTCATTCGATTTGGGGGAAGCCCTCTGACCCGACAGGAGAAAGGCTGGCGTTGCGTCAGGGTCCAGCCCAAGCTACCTGCAGCTGAAGTCCAGAACATCGATGAACAGCGTGCTTGGAACTGGTGAGAGTATCGATCTTCTCTCTTCTATCTACTAACTGAATCCTTGGGAAAGACCCCCAAAGCAAGAAAATCTCTGAAAGTGAAGGGAGGGGATTATATCCTCATTCCCTCATAGACAGAAGTGGTGAATTAATATTAAGGGAGAAAGAAATAGACTGAAATTAAATTTAAAATACTACAGTCTGGACAAATCTAGAAACTAAAAAAAACCTGCTGAGACTACACCTAAAAGAGTTTTAATGAAAATGTGTGTGTGTATGTATGTATGTATATATATACATACATACATACATACATACATACATATATATATATACTTATACATACATACATACATACATATATATATATATATATATATATATATATATATATATATATATATATATTCAATAATGATGGTGAAAATGCGACTTCCGGGCATAATTATAAATGGAATGAATAAAGCGCGTTCACCAGGAGAGTTTAAAGTTAAAATACTTTAATTAAAGTATTTTACTATATTAAAAGGTTGCCAAGCTTTCGTTGGGAAAACTCCCCAACATCTTCAGGGCTGAGAGACCGTTTCTAACAAGGTGGTTTAAACGGGTTCCATAGACGTCTGCGCTTGGTTTCTAGACCGTGCCAGCATTCCCCGCTGAACAGCTGATAGGTGGGAGGGGGAATCGGAGTAAAGATTTCTTCCGTCGTTCTCTCGAGCACTTGTGTTCACATTTCCGTCAATCTCAGGGGGTATTGTTAAAGCTATGTTCCCAGTGCTGCCCTAACCATTCAGAACACACCTCCACCCAATCAGAACACAGCCAAGCTCCCACCCAATCAGTTCATACCCCCACTGGCAGTTAAAAGGAATAAACAGCTAAGACCACACATTGCTGCTCAAAGCCCGAAGCTGAAAACACCAGCCTGAAGATGACGAATGGGACTTCGTCGAAACGTCGCCAAGACACTTCCAATTTTACGTGGGAGAAAACCCGAACAACCAAAGACCTACATACAAATACCCGCGAAAACCTCAGAAAACATATATATATATATATATATATATGTAGATTTTCACAGGTATAGGTATGTAGGTCTTGCCGTATTCGGGTCTTTTCCCATGTAAGATTGAGAGTATCTTGGCGATGTTTCGACGAGGTCCCACTCGTCATCTTCAGGCTGAGGTCTTCAGCTTTGTGCTTGTGCGAGCAAAGTGTGATCGGAGCTGCCGTCTCTCTATAAATATTGGTGGGAGGGTGTGGAGTGCTGGCTTAGTTGCTGTAGGTGGGTTGGTTGGCTGTGTTGGAGTTATTGTTTGCGGATTGTTCACCTGTTTCGTAACATCCTGAGTAGCTGAGGTGCTGGCTATGTGCCCATTAGTTTTTTGTGTTGTAACGACCTGGGTAATGGGCTGTGTGATGACATCCTGAGATCTAGTGTAGTGATATCCTGAGTTCTGTGTTGCAACATCCTGGGTGGTTGGCTGTGTTGTAACCTCCTGAGTTCTGTGATGTGATGTCCAGAGCAGAAGGCTGTGATGTAACATACCGGGCTTTGGTTTGGCTCCGAGTTTGCGGTCTAGCTCTGTGTTCATGGCGTGTGTCCGTTTGCTTTGTGTGGGGGTTGGAGGGAGGTGCAGCAGCTGATGATGTTGTCGTGGTTTGGCTTCTGGATGGTGGTTGCATTTCGTCTGAGGGATGGGTTTGGGCTTGGGTTTGGGTCTGGTGAGGGTGAATGGTGGTGGCGTACTGTATTGTTCTGGGTCTGGAGTCAGTTTTCGTAGCTAGGACTCGTTTGTTGATTAGGGCTAGTTTCCAGATGTCTGGTAGGTGGGAGGTATCGTCACGTTTATTCATGTTGTGGGGGTGTTTCTCTATTTTGATGGCTTCCATAATTATTCTCTTGTTGTGGTGTTCAGTTTTGGAGATTAGTTTGGTTCCTTCAAAATCAATTTCATGTCCTTTAGCTTTAAGGTGCTGGAAGAGGGAGGAAGTTTTTTTCTTCTTTTCTGACTGCGTTCTTGTGTTCTGCGATGCGTGCATTTATTCTCCTATTAGTTTGTCCAATGTATGTGGCTGGGCAGATTTTGCATGGTATTTCATAGACTCCTTGGTTTTCTAGCTGGATCATGTCTTTGGGGTTTCTTAAGATGTTGGCTATTTTTTTATCGATGCTGAAGGCTGTCTTGATATTGTGTTTGTGGAGAATTTTGCTAATTTTATCTGTGGTGCCTTTGATGTAGGGGAGGAAGTTTGTAGCAAGTTTCCCCATTGACTGGTTTATACCCTGACGATGATGGCAGATTTTGAGCCATCGAAAGCTTGGTTATATTTATTAAAACTTTGTTGTTTTATTTCCTGGTGATCGCCTCTTTTATCTATCAATATATGTTTTCTGAGGTTTTCGCGGGTGTTTGTATGTAGGTCTTTGGTTATTTGGGTTTTCTTCCGCGTAAAATTGGAAGTGTCTTGGCGACGTTTCAACGAAGTCCCATTCGTCATCTTCAGGCTGGTGTTTTCAGCTTCGTGCTTCGAGGAGCAATGTGTGGTCTTAGCTGTTTCTTCCTTTTAACTGCCAGTGGAGGTATGAACTGATTGGGTGGGAGCTTGGCTGTGTTCTGATTGGGTGGAGGTATGTTCTGATTGGTTAGGGGCTTGGCTGTGCTCTGATTGGCTAGGGGGTTGGCTGTGCTCTGATTGGCTGGGGGAGTGTTCTGTTTGGGTGGGGGCTTTGTTGTGCTCAGGTTAGTCTGAGTTGCAGGGGGATTTAAGATGGTGGGCTGCCTTGCTATTTTTTGGCTTCGCGTTCGTGGTCGTGCCTCACTTTCATGGTGGGTGTCAGTTTGCTTCATGTATGGATTGGAGGGGTTTAAAGTGGCTAATGATGCAGTGTGGTCTGGCTTCTGGTTTGTGGTTGTGTCTCATCATCGGTGTGGCTTTGGGTTTGCTTTTTGTGTGGATGTGTGGTGGTGACATCCTGTGTGGTTTTTGTGAGTGTGGGTCTGGTGTCATTTTTTGTGTTGGGGAGTCATTTGTCAATAAGGGCGGGTTTCCAAATGGCTGGTAGGCGGGAGGTATCATATCGTTTGTTCATGCTGTATGGGCGTTTTTCTATCTTGATGGCTTCTCTGATTATTCTGTTATTAAAATGTCCAGTTTTGGCAATAGTTCTGATATTTTTAAAGCCAATTTCATGTCTTGTGGCTTTAAGGTGTTGGACCAGAGAAGATGTTGGTTCCTCTTTTTTGACTGAGTTCTTATGTTCTTCAATGCGTGCACTTATTCTTCTGTTGGTTTGTCCGATGTATGTGTTGGGACAAGCAATGCATGGGATTTCATATACTCCTTGATTTTCTAACTCAATTTTATCTTTGGGGTTTCTTAGGATGGTGGATATTTTTCTGTTTCTGCAGAATGCTGTTTTGATGTTGTGTTTATGGAGGCTCTTGCTGATTCGTCTGTGGTGCCTTTTATGTATGGGAGGAGGGCTTTGCCGTTTTCTTGTTCTCTGTCTTGGATTTTAGTGGGGGTTTCTTTTTGGATTAGGTTTGTAATCTTATTTCTTTGGAATCCATTTGATGTTAGTACATTGGTGAGAGTGTGTAGTTCGGTTTTTAGGTGTTGTTCGTCAGCTAAGTGTTTTATTCTGGAGATGAGTGTCTTGGCTACGGAGTTGATCTGTGCTGGGTGGTGGTGTGAGAGAGCGTGCAGATAGCGGTTTGTGTGTGTTTTCTTCTGGTAGATGGTGTGTCCTAGGAAGCCATTGGATTTCTTGTAGATTAAGACATCCAGGAAGGGAAGTTGGTTATTAGCTTCTGTTTCCATGGTGAACTATATTTTGGGGTGTAGGCTGTTGAGGTGTGTGAGGAAGTTGTCCAGTTTTTCTTTCCCATGTGGCCAGATTATGAAGGTGTCATCTACATATCTGAGCCAGAGTTTGGGTTTGTGATCCAATTTTTCTAGAGCTTGGGTTTCAAAGTGTTCCATGTACAGGTTTGCAATGACAGGTGAGAGGGGTGATCCCATGGGTGCTCCTTCTGTTTGTTTGTATTTTTGTCCGTTATAGATGAAGTATGTGTTGGATAGGCAGTGGTTGGTCAGATCTAAGATGTGTTTGGGAGGGTTATATTTGTTTTGGATAGCTGTCAAGGCTTCTTTGATAGGCACTTGGGTAAAGAGGGATATGACATCAAAGCTCACGAGTAGGTCACTGGGCTGTAAGTTTTGTTTCTTTATGATCTCTATAAACTGGAATGAGTTTTTTACGTGTGAGGTGATGGATTCTGCATAGGGCAGCAACAAGATTCTCTTCGGCCCCAAGACCTTGTAAACCTTTTGGAGAT